GATTGGCTCTTTGAGTCAGAAGATATTTATGACTTTAAGGAGCCAGGCAGGACAAAGATCAGTGAGATCACCCCACCTGAAGATTCTTGTGGAGGGAATGGGCTGTCATTTGAAACTGAATTGCTGTTACAAACACCTCAGACACTTGAGGGTTTTGTAGATTGTTTTAATTGTACTTTTTACTTGGAAAAGTCAAGTGGTTGCACTTTGGCATGTATTTGATTAAATGAACAGCTTCTAAAGGCACGCAGTCATCAACCCAATTGAACGCTATTCTCTGCATACTCTCTAGGTCAGTCTCTTGTGTCTGGACTATAACAGAGGAGCAGTCTGATGGCTGATTATACCTTGCACCAAACTGCTTAAAACACCAGTCCTGTAGGAATGGTACAGATTGGAGTAGCTTTTTTGAGTGTTGTGATAGAATAGTGTATTTTATGATGGCAATGCTGTTGAGAGACAAATAATAATAAAGAGTGAGTTACTTTTAGATTGAATCCAATTAGTAGGATCTTTATTGATTTGGGGTGGGAGCATTAATTTGCAACACTGTAATGTGTAAGTATTTCTTACGAATCATGTATGGTGAATTTCCTTAAGAAGGGCTGTGAGGCAGCTGAACATGTTGCTGCTGAAAGTAGTCACCTTGCTCTCACCAACCACTTCCTTTGTCTTAGCTAGACACTTATTTTACTTAGGGCTTTGGTGAGTTAAATCAGCTCAACAGCAAAGCAGATACTTGCTTTCTTTCCATGCTGGCTCAGGCAGGTAAATCTACCCACAAGGAGGCTGGTAGAACCAGCAAAAGACAGGTAGAGGAAGTGCAAGGGCAAAGCCTGGAACAAAGTAGGAAAAGGTGACTAATGCTGTTTCTTCAGCAACAATAAAGTGCTCAGTTGTGTGCTCAGCTGTCTAATGAAGTTTCACCTTTCAGGCAGACCAATAGTGCTGACAAGTTACTTTGCGTGTGTTTTTTTCCGGTTGCTTGATCACCTAATGCCAACGTTCCATTTGGTTTTGAGGAACTGGATCTTTATCACTCAGTTCTGTATTAAAGACAAGATAGCTGGTACCATGACTTTTTTTGTTGCTCAAAAATTATAACTTCAGTTTCTGTTTGTTGCTGAAGTGAAGTTAGGTCACAGGGAATTCAGCAAGGCACTTGGACTTTCCAGATAGAGAAGGTGAAGTGTATCTCAGTAAATGCTATTTTATGTAAGCAGCTCTACTATAATTTTGATGTTAAATACCCACTCCAGAGACTTTGGACATTAATGATAACATACATTTCTGAAAGAGCACGTACATCATTGCGAAATGTCATATAGAATTGCTTTTTAAATTTGTCAGTTCCTCTGTATCTCGTTACAGCAATGACTGCCACCATTATTTGATATCAAGCAGACATCAGCTTAGATATATGCTAGAGCTGAAGTTTCTACAACTGCAAATAACTAACTCTTTTCTGGTTTTGCCATTTTTTAAGAAAATGTGACTAACTTCTTTACATTATTTACTTTGCATGTTCTGCCTCGGCAATCATGAAAGTTCGTTTGTTTCTCCAGTAAAGAGTGTCCTCTGAGCACTGACTCAGTCAAGCTGGACGATGCCGTTTTGAGCAGTAGGTTACAACCTTGAAGCCACGTGTAACAGACTTATGGCAAAGAGCTTTTAATCTCGTCTAAATGGTAGGCTGAGAAATTTTGAAGTGTTGTTACAGAAAGTGCCTATTTCAACAAAAATACTATTATATTTTTTCAGTTTTATTACTAACCAGTTTTTTTAGATGTGTAATGTATAGCAGAATTGAAATATCAGCTGAAATGGCACCTTTTGTCTTTGCCATTTTGCATGTGTTTAAAAACAACTCGCTAGCAAATGCCCCTGTAAAGAAAAGTCGTCTATCTCCATGCTGGTTCTTGAACTTTCTCAGTGTTTGTGTGCCGTATGGTTTTACAGTAAAGAAAAGTCCTGACAAGGCATGTAAGTGGACTGAAAGAGGAGGAACTAAGATAAAACTAAAAAAAACCTAGCAGGCAATTTGCTTCATTAAATGCAAAAGCCTTAACATGATACTGGGTGTAACCCAAGCAGGAAATTTTTAGCTATGCCGTTGTGGTGCGTTAGTGTTTCTTTGGGGTAGTATTTTCTTAGAAACAGTTGGCAAATAGCAGTTGTCTGGAAAAGTGAAGAATAATACATCTTACTGTTCTGCACTTAGTAGTCTATTGCTTTACTTTTTGCTTTAGTCATTTCTTTAGGAAATCGAAACCTTTAGAAAACTGATTTTGCTGAGCTGCTATACAACTTCTTTTTCCAAAGCATAGAAATGAAATTGTTGTTGTATTTATTATGAATCATCAAATGTCACTATTCAAGGTCATATCCAGGTATGCTAGATTATCAGCCTGGACCAACATTTGAATTTGTTACTTTTTTGTCATTGCCACTGTTTCAGTGCAATAGTAGCTGTTAGTTTCTCTGCATCATCCAGGTGGTTCTTCTCCAGTTACTTGGTGGATGTATTTCTACTGTTCCCACATTCTAAAGCGAATCCTGTCCGGTATGGTTTTCATTCTTGATTTGGAATTAATGATGAGGAAAGGAAATAAATGTGCTGACATCTGAGACTTCCCCCGCCTCCCCTCATTTCTGCAAAGTTCTGCAGTACCTTTTGGTGTGGCAGCTGAGCCTAAGAAAGTTTCTGTCAGCATTGTCCTGAAAGTGTTGTCAGATCTTTCGGGAGTTAGGCACCAGAAACATGCTTGAATCAGTATTAGAGAAGTTCACTCCTATCAGCAGCAGCTCAAATTCACATCTGGGGGAAGTAAGTGGTAAGCCAGAGTATAGCTACAATAACGCCAAGACTGGAGAAGTCCATTCCTTTCCTGTGCCAGTGCTGACTCTGGCAGTTTGGCTGCCGTTTGTGCAGAGTTGTTAATGGCAGCACTAGGGCCTTTAGGTGCAATGCTAAATTATTCTTGGAATTGGTGGACAAGTCTGATGTTTCATTTCCCGCTCTGTTAAAAACAATTACAAATGTGTGATTACTTTCTATTTCACTGGTAAGGGTTTTTTAGGCTTCTGAAAACTTCAGAGAATTTCCTCTTCTAAAAACACTTTCAAGTCATGAATTTTCATCACTGAAGAAGAAAGTTAACGACAGGATTTAAGACATAATCTGTGATTAGTATATGATTTCTGCAAATTTGGGTTATATGTAAGAAAGTCATCTCTGCAACTATCATTGTAGATGCTTCGCTTTTATATCATTTAATTCAGTAGACAAATAAGATCTATTCAATCCTAAAACTTTGTCCTACATCCCATGTCTCTTTTTTGGGGAGAAAGGAGGCATGTTGCTGAGTAGGGAATGTGAGCAGAATTCAGGGTAGAATTTGTCTTGGCTAATTTCAAGCATCTGCAGTATAGATGTCTGCACTTAAACCACAGGGTGCTCTATTGAAAATACACTGATTTGGCAAAGGAGAAGTCAGTTTTCATTAGTCAGAGGAAAGCACCATATGGACTTAAATACCAATGTTTGAAGGAAATCTCATTTCTTAGTAGGATGTCTCATCTGAATGCCATTATGGGGCAATAAAATTTGTTCACTTTCTAACAAGATCTTTTTGGAGATCTGTAGTGATAGTTGCAGCAATATCAAGGGACCAAGACTTTTGGATCCTGTTCCAGTCAAGTGACTTAGTGACTATACTGAGGCCAAGAAGACTACCGAGATGCTTCACACTCAGAGAATTAGGGGAGTTTGCTTTGTAGAGTTCAAATTAGAAAGAGTTTATGTGAGACTAACTGAATAAATTTAAGAGTTAATGAAGGGTAAGGATAGGTTTCCATAGGAGACCTTTAGGTCCTGGGTTGCCTACTAGTGACTGTGGCTTTCCCTCCGCATGCACAGTCACCCCTCTTTTCTTTTTTTTTTTTTTAATTTCTCTCTCAAGAATTTCAGAATACAGCACTTAAAAGAGGTTATGTTACATATGAATGCCCAGAAAATAAATAATTTTACCCTATAATTCTTCTAGCTACTACTTTGTTTGCTTTAGCGTGTTGTGTGAAGTACCATCCTGAACAACAAGAGCACATCCTTGATACAAAGGCTTATCACTCAAATTTAGCTTTGAAAATCTCATCTCTGTCTGACCAGTTGCATGGGGAGAAGTTAGATTTCTGGACTAGGTGGTTCTTACATGTGTTCATTTCAGGGTTAGCTGGCTGACGGGCTAACACCAAGATTTCAGAGAAGTCCCTGTCAGAGCTGCTATCTGTTAAACTTACTGAGAAATGCAGATAAAAAAAATCAGATGTTCTGAAAAGAGCTACAAAATTCATTGTAAATAATTGCCTACAACTGTGTTAGTTTTTCTGTAGTGTATTATTTTGTTGTTAAGAAAATATGAAATACTTTTTCCAAATACATATGCATCCACATATAATATACTGAACAATAAATATCAGAGTTGCCATAGTCACTGTACCTTTATATATTCAGATTTTTGGGTAGTGTTTTGAATTTGAGTCCAGCTTATCTAAGTATGCATTTAATCTTCAGGTATGAAATTTTCTTCCTATGCCTTCCACTTAGTACCTTTCTGCTCAGTATGACATTTAATGAAATTTCAGAATAGCAGTAGCTCTTTAGTGTCTTATTATTCAAACATCATTTAGAAAGTCATCCAGAAACATGTTGTTTGGTCTTGCAATGATTTCTGATGCTTTTTATAAAGCTAAATTAATGACATGACATCTATGTTTATTTAAATTGGTTTAAAATGTTTAAGATTTTTATGAATCATAAGGTGTACATTTGTTTAATCAACACAAGGTTTTATTTGATATTTTATCTATTTAAAAAAGCAGACGGTCTGTGTTTGATCATATTAAGTACCTATTCTACGAATTGAACACCGCAAATACATTATTACTGAAAATTATTATTTATTTATTTATTACATTTGATTTTTTTAATTTTCACATAGGGAGACAATTTTAAAGAAGAACCCTGGGCATCTGTTGACAAAAGAAAAGCAGAGGAAAAAACGAAAAAGAAGCAAAAAAATGAAAGGCAATCATACAGAAATTACAAAGAAAAAGTTAGGCAAAGCAGCTCATCATCCAATTCCAGATGACCAGGACATGTCAGAAAGTGAAGAGGATGATTCAGAAGAAGAAAACAGCAAATCCTTGTGTACATTCAGTGGAGGTCCAGAAGATCCAGTAACAGTTTGTGAAGAGCAGCCAAACGATCCTGATGAAAGCCTAAAAGAAGTTGTAGTGATTTCAACAGAAAGGTTTCCCGTCACAGTGTCTGAGGTCTCAACGGTGTCGGACAATGCATGGAAAAATGATTTGCCTGTAGAAAGTGACAATTCACTCCTAATAAATATAAAACCTTTTTCTACAGAAAGCCTAACCAAAAATGCACTTGATGATGAGGAAACAAATCAAAGGCACAAAGAAAATCTTTCCAAAAGCAGTTTCCTAAAAATGAACAGTGATAAAAATTCCATCCAGGAAACAGAAGGCATCAGTGAAGATTGTAACATGCTGCTGTTAAGCACAGAAAACAAACTGGAATCATATCAAATTACCTGTGAACCTGACATGGAAGCTAAGCTATTAAGTTTAAGTGGTGAAGAAAAAGATATCTCTCAGTGTTATAATTCAAATGCACATGATAATGTGCCTGATAATAACACAGAGGACAAAGGTGCATTAAAAGCAGGAGAGAATACCTGTAATGCCTGGGCTTTTTTTTCAGTTGATTTACCTACTGAGGAGTTGCAGCTGGACTTCGATACACAAGCTTCTCTCTCTTCTTGGTCTGAGGATAAATTTGTAGGTGAACAAAGACCCCCAAAAATGAGGAAACCGAAACAGACTCATATGAACAGTTCAACACAGCTGAACTGCTGTTGGTCAAATGAAGGATTGGTAAAGGAAAACCATCAGGTAACAGTGACTGCAGAGGTTGGTAATATAATAAGCAATGGTCTATCAGCATCTCCAGCTGGTGAAGTGCACTTTGATTCCCTCGTGGAACCCAGGGCCACCTTCACGCAGTGTTCGAGTGAAGTAAATGTTCCAAGAAAGGATGCTGCACCAATTACATCGAAGAGGAAAAGACATAGAAGAATTGTCAACTTGGCACCAAAGTTTGATCTACCAAGACAGATTGCTGGTAGTACAGAGGGAGGGAAGGAAGTCTCAATAAAAGATGATGTTCCCCAAGAAAGTGTTTTGGAAGTGGGGCAAAAAAGCTTTCTAAGCAAGGACAGTGGAGAGGAACGTGAGCAGAACCGTGCGTTGCAGGGATATTCTGCACCTTATAGTGGCACCAAAGCAACTTATTCCTTACCCGCCCCGAATGCGGATGCTCTGTTACATGATATTTCTTACAGTCATTTGGGACAATCTTCTCTTATGCCAAAATATTCCTGCAAGTTTCCTGGAGTTTCAGGGATGAAGGAGGAGGAAGGTAGAACTCTTAAACAACAACAGGTAGTTGATAAAAAAGAGGGTGAGAGTGAACAAGTTACTTCAGAGGTTACAAATAGACAACCAGATATTTTGTCTTCTGTTCAAGTTGTTTCTGAACATCCAGAAGATTCTAGTGTATTGGCAAGCTGCGGTGAAAATGTGCATGAAGAAGATGACCCTGAGCCAGCGGAGGCCTCACAACTTGAAGATAATCAGGATGTGAATATGAAATGTAGTTTTCTGGGACTTCCCTTGTCATTAGGATTTGCTTTTCAACTTGTGCAGCTCTTTGGTTCTCCAGGTCTTCCATTGGGTAATACTGTTCTTACTACTCCTATGTAAAAAAAAATACTAAACAAAAAAACCCCCACAACTCCCCCCAAACCCCAAACAAATAAAGAACTACCAAAACACACACCCCAAACCCCACCCCCCCAAAAAAAAAGAAACAAACCTCCACAATCCCTATGATTAAATACTCAATTTTATTGCGGATACCAGTTAATCAAATATTAATCCTATTGAAAGGAATTACTGCAGCTTTAGTGATTATTTTGTTTTACTTATTTTTTTTTTTACCTAACATCATCTTCAGTCTCTGTCAAAGGGGCTGTCGGGTTTGGCCTTGTATTTGTAGTCTCTTCAGTTACAAAGACTTAATAACTTTAAATCCAAAGCATGAAGCTCTTGTTGATGTTTTCGTACATCCTACTGAGTAAGACTTTACTGTGTTGATTACAAAACTAAATGAAAACATGGTAGAAAATGTGTGCTCTTGTATATAAAGGTTGCATGTTTGGTTTTAGATTCCATCTATTTAGTATAGTAGCATTCTTTTTTTCTTTATTTAGTAATTTTTTCATAGACCTTTATGTGACTTAGATACTGTTGAAAACTTTCCCAGAATCTAATTTAATTTGAAAATCAAATTAGAAGATGCATTTTCTGATAGCGTATACCTTCTTTCTAATCATGCATGATTAAGAAGTGTCACAGTTGTGTACTTGCCTTCCAGAGCTCCAGTTGTCATACTTTCAGTTTAATCATTTTAAGTTAGCAGTTAGAAGTATGACAATCAGTCCTTGAAGGAGTTGTGTGTGGCAACCATGATTTCCAAATTTACTGCAGGCTAATGTAACCCTACAGAGCTGTAGCCAGTAACAACAACAGACATTTGTTTGGAAGTCACCCGAGGACACGGTGCTGTGTATGCATCTGCTGAAAGAGCTGTGTTTCCTGGGCATAAAGTTCTGCAGCTTCTTTGGTCCAAATTTAGAGGAGAAACGGTAACTTTGACTTGGCCAGGGTTAAAAAACATAGACCAGTTTTTCAGCACATGGACCTTTACACCTGTTTGTTTCAGTAGAATTTAAAGTTAAGCACATATTTTCATATGAAAATTTTAAGATGACAATTGAGGAGCAGGTTATTTCTGTTTCTCTGCCAAAATTGGCCTCTGGATTCTTCGTTTTTATTGTAAAAGTTGATGGTAGTGCTACCTGCCAGAACAGTGATGCAGATCACTGGCAGCAGTACTCAGCTTGGTCTCCAAAGGACCTCCAGTGCTACTTTATCTAAATCTGACACCACGCACCAAAGAACTTGCCACATAGAGCTGAAACAGAGCAAAGCAGTACTGCTGATGTCCTCAACTACTACATGTACAGCATTCTTCTCCTCCAAACTTAGTGAGTCTTCACATCCGTGATCTTAAATGTCATCATCTTAGAAGGAGTTGGCCATGACTTGAAAACAGAGATCTTCCAGAAAAAAATGAAAAACAGGCATTCAGAAACATTCAGTATGTTTAGTGAACCAAATGTTGTTCTCTGAGTCAGTTGCAGGTGAAATTCTCTGGTGTTTATATGAGTTTCCTTTGGAAGTAGCCTTCAAGGAATACAAACCCACCGGGATATCTCTCTGAAGCCCTACAAGCCTGTGATTGCTGTTTGTTGGAATTTTTTCCACTAAAATTGTGGATGCTGTCTGCAGAAGGCTGGCCACATTCTCATTTGACTGTAATTTTCCTACAGTTGCAAAAATTCTTGTGCTTTTTTGTGGCCTATTATATATTGATAGGCTGCTATTTATTCACATACACAATAATTGAGCTGTAGTATTTTACAACACTGGCAATTGCAGTCAATTTTTATTGAAATTATTTTGGAGGGCAAATTTTTGGTAAATAAATGTCTTTTTGTTATTTATAAATGAAAGATTTAGCTGACTGACTTGCTTGTATGATTCTCATGTAAGTGTAGAATATATTTTAGACTGTTTTCCTACAAAGAATCTCTTTTCAGCTTCTGAAACAGTGTTAGAGTTAAAACGTTTTAGAAAGTAATTTCTTTAGTCATATTGCACAAATTCTTATACTTAAGCATTTTAAAATTTAAAGGTTGTTACTTAAGTTGCATTTTGTTTAATTTATGGGCTGAAAACTTTCTGGTTTTCTTGTTTGTGCCAAGTTTTGGGGGAGTATGTGGGGGAAATGAAAGTATGGTAGGAAAGCCTTTGCCTAAAAAAAGAAACCACAACCACATCTCCTTCCCATTCCTCCCCCTCCTGTGCACTGGCCTTAGATTCTAGAAAACCTAAATTCTGACTTTGCTGCTGGCTTATTTAAATATCTGCTGATTATTTTTTTAAAGTCTATATGCATATAATGTGTGCAAAAATTGTAGTTCAGTGATATGTTTCAGTTCTAGAGAGATCTGAACACTCAACTGCAAAAAATATTTTCTTCTGCAGAATCCTTGTTGCCAGATGATTATATAGTTCCTCTTGACTGGAAAGTTTCAAAGATGATCTATTTACTGTGGAAGACCTCTGTGGAGGTACGAATTTTAGGGGATTTCAGAAGGCTTTCCAATATTCCAGGTGTAAAGAGGAATTTTTCAGTTCATAAGCAAGATGATGTTCTTTGCCAGTAAATTTGCTTTGGTTTTTAATGCCCACATGAAGAGATGGATGCTTTATGTACTTCTGGATATTTCCAGAACCAGCTTGAGGCCATGGTAGGATTCAGGTTTTGAAAGATCAGCTTCAGAAATGTATACGAATTAGTTGAAGGAGGAAAAAACCCAACCTTTTCCTTGATACTTGTGTCCTGACTTGGCCTGTGTTCCTTAAGTACAACATAGCATCATTCATTTTTTTTCATTCTTATGGTTTTCTCCCAGCATCTGAGCAAATTTCATCCTTCATTACCTGTAGCTTCTTCACAGCTACTTCTACAAAGAGCTGTAGCAGAGAAGTTGTTCTGAGTGGCTCATGGTAGCTTATGTCTGATTGTTTAGTTAGAAAGTGTTAACCTGAAAATTACTATTTTTTTTCCCCACTGTGGCTGTTACTTTGTGAAGGTTTGGTTTTAAGGAGCACTATAGTGTCTGGTAGTAGAAATGAGGAAAATCCTGTAAATACAATGAAATAGTAGCTATAAAATAGAGCATAGACTTTGTTTTTTCCAAAAATAACAACATCTCTTGTCACAAACTTCTTTTCTCCGGACTATTATTATCTATTTTAGGAAAAACAGAAAACAAATGGATTGCAGAATGGAAACGCCTTGGCTGGTAAGCGTGTGTGAAATACTTCCTGTTCAGAAGAGAATGTAGCTAATGCTGAAGCGTGTCGAAGGTTTTCAGCATGAATAAGTGATAACGCTCCTCTCTGTGCAAAAGCACTAGGATGTGATAAATGAATCTGTGCCTCCACTGATTGTGTACATAGTATGGCAGAGCTACGGTTGCTGTCAATCATCACTTTACATTTCCTGATGCAAGCACTGAAATTCTTTGCCTTTTAAAGTTTCCCATATGGAATTAATCCAATACTTAGCTCAAGTTTATCCGTTCCAGATCAGAAGGACGTTTAGCATGAAGAAGTCTTTCTTTAGACTTTATTTCTCTGACAGGTTGAGCATCTTCAACTTAATTAAATGTAATGGTCACTAAAAATTGCCAGCATAATAATAGGTCACACGCTTGAGCAGCAAGAGATATCAGGGTCCATGGGAAGCTCCAGACTTCTGCAGGCATTAATTGCTGTGGCGTGGAGGTTGTGGGATAAGATTTCTGATTACTTTTTTCCATGATTTCCATATTAGTTTAATATAATTTCACAAGTTTCATACTATGAGATTAAAAATACTCAGTAGTAACTCCCTGGAAGCTGATAGGTTTTGCTGTCTAAAACAGGAGAGGAGTTTCTCTTGGAAGAGCTGAGAGGAAGCATAGAGTAGGAATACACAACATGTGTGCGTGTACATGCACGCATGCCCACCCTGGAAAGATTTAGTTTATTTTGTAGCCCATTTAGGAAGCAAAATTAAGAGTATTCTGATGAAATAAAAGCTTGCTCTAGAAATACTCTATCCTGACGTAATGTAAATGACAGACTACATAAGATAATTTCAGGTGTCTTTGGCTGCAGTTTGTAATTTGTTTATTTTTTAGATGATACTATTAGTCTTGAAGATCTACATAAAAATTGCCAAGAGGATCAAGACTCTTCTGAAACACTTGCAGAAATGGAGCTGTTTCAAGGAGTCATAGAGGAGAACATCCTGACCTACAGTAGCGGAGGCTGTTTGGACACAGTGTTTCATCATTCATGACTGACCCTCTTAAATTCTGCATGAAGGAAAAGGTAATCCGTCGCACTTGTGAATGTGTTGCATTCTTGTATTGTATTTGATCAAACATCTAAAGAACATTGTTACAGTTTTTAAGGTCTGCATGAAGGAAAAGGTAATCCGTCGCACTAAAGAACATTGTTACAGTTTTTAAGAGCATTTAGTATCACCCAGCTTACTTGATTTTTTTTCTTCAAGTTGGGTTGAGGGTTGTTTTGGTTTGGGGGATTTTTTTTTTTTTTTAAGCCTGAATGGGGCAAAGACAAGGCAGCATTTAGTTATTAAAGCCATATGATTTTTTTTTTTCTCCAAAATCTGAAACCTGCCTGGTGAAGTGAAACCAATGGTCTAGGATGCCTAAGAGCTGGACTTTATTCCCAGTTTGATTACTGTGGTGATCTGTTGTGAGTCATGTCATCTCAGTCCTACTTTCCTTGTCTCTTCAGCATGGAGAGCAATGCTGACTCCATTAAGGGTCTAATTATGAAGAGCACTATATGAGCAATAAAAGAGTATTTCACCAAGTTATGAAAAAGTGACAGTTCTGCTTTTTGTAGAGAATCACCAGCAGGAGGTCACAATAGGATTCCATATACTGAAGTGTTAAGTTTTCGTGGATGTTTTCATTTGATATGGCAAAAGTACGTGTATTTCAGTATTAGAAAGTGTGCTATCCCGTTCATGCTTGTCTTGTGAATTTTTGAAGCCTTTGGTAACTCGGCGAAGTTTCTTCAGTTTGTTTATGAGAGATATTTTAGGTAGATTATGATAAGAAGGAAGGACTTTTGGATCCAGCTGGAAAACACTAGCTTAACTTCCATATCATTTTCCCTCAGTTTTTCTTTCCAAAGTGGAAAATGCATTAATCAGTAGTTATAAAATAAGGAAACTGAAGTACATAGAAATAGAATAACTTGCACCATGGGCAAATTGAGCCAGAAGAAAAATTCCACATCCTGAGGTTTAAATTGTTTCCACCCAGACCTCGCAGGACCACTGGAATACCATCCATGTAGGGTCTAGCCAGGGGTCTGTGTCACCTGGTGTCCTGTGTCTGACGTGAGCACGAGTTGATGGCTGGAGGAGGAGGCAAAGAGGCGGTCATGTGCTGTACTGGGACAATTATAAAAGCAGAAGCTGACATTTTAGAAGGTTTCTTAATTTTCACAGTGGAGGTAAATGACAGAAGTGAAGTAGTTGAATAGTTTGGGTTGGAATTGAAACCTCTTGAATGGGGGCTGATTTGATTATATGCATTTTTATATCATGGATGACAAAAATGACATTGCAGGTCATTTGCTGATTAGCCTGTGCCAGCTACCGATGTAGGAAGGTGAGGGGAATCTCTCTGGACCATGTAGCACAGACAGCACTGATCTCACAAGGTGCTGTCAGCACAGGTTATTGATAAAATCAAGAACATCTGGTAGTGGTATTGTCCTCTTACAGAAGCAAATACTAAAATATTTAGTAAGCCAAAAAAAAAAAATATTTTCACCAAATACTTTGCCCTATGTCAGCCCCAAATTTTTGTAAGTCAGTTATTTATAGTATTGCAAATGTGAACACTCCACAAGCAAGATTTTTGCTTATGATACTGACTGGCCATCACCGTGCAGATTTGTAACCGAAGCTACTACCTGGAAATGTCCAGGTTTATTGATTAAAATGTTTTTATGCTAAAGAAGCAAACTTAGAGCGCTCTGCTGTCTTCCTCAAAGAAAATTGTGATTAACCTGGAAATTGATTTTTTTTTTTCTTTGTGTACTTTCAGAAAGGAAAGACATACGCTAGCAGAGTGTTCTGCATTGTCAATAGTTATCTGGTTGCTGAAACCAACAAACTGTTTTTTTCTATCGATCAGAATTACGCCCTTTGTCTGTCTGCCACGCGACTCCCCAAATTGTTTCAGCCTTCCTCTCCTGCTCGTGGTGAGCGCGGCAGAAGCGATCCGCAGCCCTGCGCGCTTCTGAGGCAGCTGCTGACCGCTGGTCTGAAACGACACGTCTTCAAATCTGTTTGTTACGGGCCCTTGCAGTCCAATGCTCTGCTATACTGGCTTATATGCTACTTTGCCATGAAAGATGACTCCCAGTCAGTGTTTGGTTTGGAAAAAAAAAAAAAAAAAAGGCATTGCCCGCTCTGCTGCGCAGAAGGACTTGGTCATGGAGATCTGCGTGAGGTGGTGTGGTTAAGTTGGAGGTCCCTGCTGGCAGATGAAGCCTATGTAATGGGTGGTTGCCTTGGTTGTGGCCGCATGGTCCCATCCTCCTTGCAGCAGCTTCGGTGCTCAGCAAAGCCTTCGGCTTGGGAATGCTCAGCTGGTCAGGGCTTTGTATTGGGAGGAGGAGGGAAGTTAGTCAGGGGGTTTCGTGGGTTGTTTTGGTTTGTTTGGGTTTTTTTTTATTTCAACATCTGAAATGAGTCAGGGAAAGTCCTGATGGCTGTTGGAGGGAGAGGATGAGACACCAGAGGTCAGGTGGGTTTAGGGTGCTCTGGAACTGCCTCGGGCTGAGCTGGTGTGATGGGTCGCTGCTGCTGAAAGCGGGAAGTGCCCTTCCTCCTCACCCTGCTCCGGTTATCAGCTCCGGCACTCGCTGGCTGACATAAAGGCTGTAATTTAACTCGTTAACCCCACAGGAAACAAAGGGATAGTTTTCTGCTAGACTGGTAAATTTAGATAAGCCTGTGAAAGGTCCAGCTTGGTGGTGAAGCTGGAGCAGATGGGACTGTGCTGCTGCAGGCACGACAGGGAGGACGTGCAGGGCATCCTGCTGGGTGGCAGTCAGCTCCGACACCAGGGGTCACATATCGTGCAACCGTACCTTCGGATGAAAGACTGCTTTTGAGCTTATACAAATGTTAGTATGTTAAAAATAATTTTTAAAGTGTGTGAAAAGCAAAAAGCATCTCTTAGGGGTTTTCAATCGACTCGTGCTCGCTGTCAGGCACAGGATACTGGGTATCACAGACCCCTGGCCAGACCCCACATAGGTGTTCCAGCAGCCCTGTGAGGTGTGGATGTGTCAGCACTGTAGAAGGCAGATGAGTTTTTCTGGTCGATGACGCCACTGATTTTGAGGGATAAGGTCATATTTTCTCGCTGCAAAATCATTATTTTCTGGTTGCTGGTTAAAACCAGGCTTGCCAAGAATGATGTCCTGGAGTGGTTGTGAAACTGCTCAAGTGAACAACTGTAAATGTTAAAATGGATTTGATTTCATC